GGTCGGGGGCTCTGCGGGGCCCGGCTCAGGTAGGGCTGGGGCGGCGTTCCGGGATCGGTCCTTGCTCGGGGTTGCCGTTTCGCCCGCCCGGGTTGGGGCCTGGTGTCCCCCAGCCGGGCAGGCCCGGGATCTACTTCAATGGAGACCAAACGTTGGGTTTAGTTACTCCACTGAAGAGGTTGAGGGTACCATCTGCGGGCAGACGCTGCATGCTGTCGTGAATTAAGTAGCCAAAAATTATTCAGAACTGTGATTCGTGGCTAGTAAATAGCTCCTGTGTTTCTCAGAATCAATGTGGTCGTTGTGTTCCTGTACTTTCTCCAGTTCCTGGCTGCCCCAGACGGTCCCGTGCCGAGGGAGTCACTGGCAGACTTCGCTGCTGGCGTGTCGGGCATCTCTTCCCGCCAGGTGAGCGCAACTCCACCGCCCTAGCGAGGAGTGCTTTCATCCTCAGGGGAATGCAGATTTGCCCAAGTCCAAATTAACTTTTGATTACAGATGTTTGCTTTTAAGTCACTATACGTAAAAGCAGTTGAGAACTGTCAGCGTCGTAAGGAGACTTTAATGGTAACCGATATGATTGTCGCTTTATGCTTGTGTGTAGTTGTAGTTGTACTTGCTTCCTCAGCCACAGAAAATTTGGATTCCCTTTTGAGCAACAATGGAAATGAGAGCCTAGCCAAACTGAAAATGCTTCACTATAAAGTGGTATACTTATAGTATACCCACATTTACATGTATGTTACATTTTGGTATCCTTGTTTTGTTTTGATGCAACTAGATTTATCCGGGAAGCTGTTAGGTACCATCGGGGGGACTGTTTCATGCCATAAAGGTCATTTGTCCAAACAATATCCCACAGGTCCACTGTTTGTGGAGTGTGGTGTACGTTATCTTGGGTATACTGGATCTGCATGAAGTACAACAGGAGAGGAAGGTCTGCACCTTGAATTTCATTCCAAACATGGAAATTTTAAAAGCATGTGTAAAACCACTCACTCTCTTCTTTAACGTGAGATGGCAGGAATATTGCAGATAAACTTGTTACCTGCTCTGCTGCACCCTGAGCTAGTGCAAACCAATTCCAATCAAATTTTTGTGGAACTTCCTCAGGTCATTCTGATGTTCAGTACAAAATTGGAGGTTGCTTTTCTCGGGCAGGTACAGTTTGCTCTGCAGAAAATCTCATGAGACATATTGCTGTCTCCTGGAAATTATGTTACTTGAATAAAGCTAATGGCTGGAACTTCTATTAGGGACTAAATTAAGCAATGGGAAGGAATGTTCTTAGAAAAGTAAAGTGGAAGTTGCTGGTGTTGAATTAAATGGCAAAATTATCTTAATTCATTCATGCAATTATTTTCTTTGTAGAGCACAACCAAAGAAGAAGAAGAAAGTGGATGTAAGGAAGGAGCAAGCGCAGAAGGATCGCATGAAAAAGAAGATTAGAAAGTTGGAAAAAGCTGCCCCAGAAATGATTCCAATTGAGGATTTTATAACACCGCTTAAGTACTCAGATAACAACAGGTAGGTAAGAGTGTCTGTCACCATGTGCTTGCATTCCTGGTAGAAACACTTCCCATTTATTTCTCTGCAAAACTGCAATATAGTGCTGGCCTTGGTACAGAACCTGATCTACTTCTACCAGAACAAAACCATGGAAAGCAAATTTTATTTGCTCCTGCTAAAAACAGTGGAAAAAATAGTAACATGGATTTCCTGTTAGGATGACGGTGGAAAACCTCACAGATTTTGCATCAATGAAATATGTTCTTTGGGTTGGTGGTGGTGTTTTGTGGGTTTTTTTTAAATTTGCTCTTTGGGGTACAGGCTATTTCTCTTACAATGCTATTTTGTTCTTTATCAGGGTGCGAAGTCTTCCCCCTCTGTCATTTGAGGAGTCTGAAAGAAGAGTTTTACTTATGAAAAAGTGGTGTTTGTTTAAGCAGAAACAAAATGAGGCAGAAAAGAAAGCAATTCAGAGCCTTGTAGAAGCTCAGCAAGAGGCACTAAAGGAACTCCGCCTGGAATCAGAAGAGCTGTACCAGGCAGCAATCAGACGAGATGAGGGGCTTTTCCCCTTTGAGAGAGATGGACCTAATTATACCCCACCACTTCCTGGTTACGATCCTCCCGAAGGAAAATGCGTTGATATCACCAAAGTGTATACGCAGTGATGGAGGGGTTTGTTGTTCATCAGGCATGAGCTACTTGACCAACTGAGGGAGGAAAGAATGGAATAGGAATAAACAATTCCTTCTGCAGGTTAAAATCCTGTAGGTGCATGACTGTAAAAAAACATATTAATGAAGTATCTGTTTGGGTTTTTTAATGCTTCTCTAGATAGTAAGACACCCAATAAAACTACACTACCTTACACTTGTGCCATGCTAGAATAAGAGAAAGTAGTATTTCACAGAGTATTTTATCTTTCTGGGCTTATATCTGTCATCCTTTCACACCATCTGGAGCAGCATTTTTTTTTTCCTGCATAAACCATAACATGGAAGAGTCCTATGCTATGAGAAAGGATTGTCACAGTTGTCACATCAGAGTCTCTACTGTAAGGGAGGTAGCAGCTGACTCTACTGCCTTTCTTTTAGACTTCAGTGAACTTTTGACTCTAAGAGGGAAAACATATTATGACAAAGCCAAAATTAAGTTTTGGTGGGTTTATACTGCCATGTAAGCATTGTAACTACGCTTCTGAAGGTTTGTCCTAAAACAAAACACATCTCTCTTCATTCATTTAAACATTTATTTTTGTAGTAATTTTGAGTACTGCCATTGACACACACCACTGTTTGAGAGCAGGTCCGTGCAAGGACAGGGTTGCAGTTTCAGGTTCTGCAGCACCATCCCACCAGGTGAGAAGCTCTTAACCTGTGACAATTCAGAATCTGGGAAATGCCTTTTGAATGCCAGTGGTTGTGATTGTCCCGAACTGACAGGGAGGAGGCCCAGCGCGCTTGTGTCTTCCCGTCTGGCAGGCCTGGGGTGGGCACTTTGTTCCAGAAGTGTGCAACACCGGCTGGTAGGGGAAGAGGTCCTCATCTAGCAAGAGACAGATCTTGTATGCACCAATTTGGGAGTTGCCTGCCGAGTTGCTGAGATGAAATCCTAAAGTGTAAGACAGGAGTAAGAGACCAGAATCAAATTAAGCACCTCAATTCTCCCTTTAAAAAATACCAGGTGCTTAAATAAACTCTCAGTATTTTTGAATGAGTACTAAAGTATTGCAGACCTACAGTTGTATAATTTCAAGATGACACAGAAGGAAAAAACCCAGCATAGTTGCGCTTTGTGTATTACGTTACTAACCAAACAGCAAAACAGCCTTGCTAGTTTGGTTTGTCTTGGTCAAGTGGCAGATACCAGTCAGGGGGTGGGCTCTTCCTCAGCGTCCACACTGGAGCATATTTCTGTTTTTCCATAACTCGAGCTCTTTCACTCTCGCACAAAGCTTCCTGAAATACAGGAAAAAAAATATTACCAGGATAGCGTTGGATGTTCCAGTCCTACAAAGTTTATTTCCTGCTGTCAGTATTTGAGATAAAAACGAGGAATGAGAAGTTCATTATGCTTAAATAGAAGAGCCAAATGCTATCTAAGTAAGCCAGAATACAAGTTTTAACTGTGTCACGTTTGTATTTTGCCTCTGACTGCTTCATTACAAAGAAAACCACTTTGGCGCTACCCTCCCTGCCAGAAGTTGTCCTCGCTGGCTGGAAGGATGAGTTATGCTGCAGCCTGTGCCGAAGGGCTCTCGTTTTCCAGTCTCCAAGGGTATGCAGCCAGGAGCGTTTCTGCACACCCCGGGAATACTTTTTGCCTGCAAGGCGGCAGCTTTTCGCATTAGGAAGGGAATCTCGGAGTACCTGCAATCAACAGCTTTTACAGCAGAACCCGGAACGCGGTCCCGCTGGACGGTAAGGGCATCCTGCCCGCCCCCACCCCGAGCCCCTGCCCGCT